GGGGGAAAATGGGAATTTGTGAGGGGGAATTAAAGGGGGAAAATGGGAATTTGAGAGGGGGAATTGAAGGGGAAAAAGGGAAAAAATGGGGGGGAAATGGGAATTTTTGAGGGGAATTAAAGTGGAAAAAATGGGGAAAAAAGGGGGGAAAATGGGAATTTGTGAGGGGGAAATGGGCGGGAATTAAAGGGGAAAAGGGTTAAAAAAGAGGGAAAAGTGGGGATTTGAGGGGAAAAAAGGGTAAAAAGGAGGATTTTAGGGGGGAAATAAGAAATAAAGTGGAATTTGAGGGGGAAAAGGGAGATTTGGGGGAAAAAAAAGATTTTAAGAGGAAATGGGGGAATTTTAGGGGAAAAACGGGGATTTTAGGCGGGAAATGAGAAATAAAGTGAGATTTGAGGGGAAAAATGGCAAAATGGGGGAGATTTGAGGGTAACTTTGGGGTTTGGTTTTTTTGTTTGTTGTTTTTTTTGTTCTTTTTAGGGTTTTTTTTTGTTTCCAGGTGAATTTTTTGAGGTTTTGTTGTTCCCAGGTGTAACTTTGCACTTTTTTCTGGGTGTTTTTTGTGGGTTTTTTGGTTTCTGGGTGAATTTTTTGAGTTTTTGTTGTTCCCAGGTGAATTTTTTGAGGTTTTGTTGTTCCCAGGTGTAACTTTGCCCTTTTTTCTGGGTGTTTTTTGTGGGTTTTTTGGTTTCCCGGGTGAATTTTTTGAGTTTTTGTTGTTCCCAGGTGAATTTTTTGAGGTTTTGTTGTTCCCAGGTGTAACTTTGCACTTTTTTCTGGGTGTTTTTTGTGGGTTTTTTGGTTCCCAGGTGAATTTTTTGCGTTTTTGTTGTTCCCAGGTGTAACTTTGCACTTTTTTGTGGGTTTTTTTGTTTCCGGGTGAATTTTTTGAGTTTTTGTTGTTCCCAGGTGAATTTTTTTGAGGTTTCATTGTTCCCAGGTGAATTTTTTTGAGGTTTTGTTGGTCCCAGGTGAATTTTTTGGGGTTTTGTTGTTCCCAGGTGAATTTTTTGAGTTTTTGTTGTTCCCAGGTGAATTTTTTGAGTTTTTGTTGCTCCCAGGTGTAACTTTGCCCTTTTTTCTGGGTATTTTTTGTGGGTTTTTTGGTTCCCAAGTGAATTTTTTGAGGTTTTGTTTTTCCCAGGTGAATTTTTTGAGGTTTCATTGTTCCCAGGTGAATTTTTTTGAGGTTTTGTTGTTCCCAGGTGAATTTTTTTGAGGTTTTGTTGTTCCCAGGTGAATTTTTTTGGGGTTTTGTTGCTCCCAGGTGAATTTTTTTGAGGTTTCATTGTTCCCAGGTGAATTTTTTTGGGGTTTTGTTGTTCCCAGGTGAATTTTTTTGAGGTTTCATTGTTCCCAGGTGAATTTTTTTGGGGTTTTGTTGTTCCCAGGTGAATTTTTTTGGGGTTTTGTTGTTCCCAGGTGAATTTTTTTGAGGTTTCATTGTTCCCAGGTGAATTTTTTGGGGTTTTTTTGGGTTTTCCCAGGAGCTGGAGGCCATCAAGGCCCGGGTGAGGGAGATGGAGGAGGAGGCCGAGAAGCTGAAGGAGCTGCAGAACGAGGTGGAGAAACAGATGAACATGAGCCCCCCCCCGGGCAACGGTGAGAGGGACCCCAAAATATCCAAAATTCACCCCAAAAGATCCAAAATCCGCCCCTAAATAGCCAAAATTCGCCCCAAATCCGCCCCTAAATGGCCAAAATCCACCCCAAAATGGCAAAAATTCACCCCAAAATGGCCAGAATTCACCCCAAAATGGCCAGAATTCGCCCCAAATCCACCCCAAAATGGCCAAAATTCACCCCAAAAGATCCAAAATCCGCCCCTAAATAGCCAAAATTCACCCCAAATTCACCCCAAAATGGCCAAAATCCACCCCAAAATGGCCAAAATTCACCCAAAACCACCAAATCCACCCCTAAATAGCCAAAATTCACCCCTAAATATCCCAAATTCACCCCAAAATGGCCAAAATTCACCCCAAACCACCAAATTCACCCCAAAATATCCAAAATCCACCCCAAAATGGCCAAAATTCACCCAAAATGGCCAAAATTCACTCCAAATTCACCCCAAAATGGCCAAAATTCACCCCAAACCACCAAATTCACCCCAAAATATCCAAAACCACCAAATTCACCCCAAAAATCCCAAATTCACCCCAAAAACATCCCAAAATTCATCCCAAAACCCCCAAATCCACCCCAAATTCACCCCAAAAATCCCGAATTCATCAAAAAATGGCTGAAATTCACCCAAAATCCCAAATTCCCTCCAAATGCCCCCAAATTCAAGCCAAAAAACCCAAATCCACCCAAAACCCACCAATTTCTCCCCAAAATCCCCAAANGGGGGAATTAAAGGAAAAAATGGGGAAAAAAGGGGGGAAAATTGGAATTTGTGAGGGGGAAATGGGCGGGAATTAAAGGGGAAAAGGGTTAAAAAAGAGGGAAAAGTGGGGATTTGAGGGTAAAAAGGGGGATTTTAGGGGGGAAATAAGAAATAAAGTGGAATTTGAGGGGGAAAAGGGAGATTTGGGGGAAAAAAAAAGACTTTAGGGGGAAATGGGGGAATTTTAGGGGAAAAACAGGGATTTTAGGCGGAAAATGAGAAATAAAGTGAGATTTGAGGGGAAAAATGGCAAAATGGGGGAAATTTGAGGGTAACTTTGGGGTTTGGTTTTTTTGTTTGTTGTTTTTTTGTTCTTTTTAGGTTTTTTTTTTTAGTTCCAGGTGAATTTTTTGAGTTTTTGTTGTTCCCAGGTGTAACTTTGCCCTTTTTTCTGGGTGTTTTTTGTGTGTTTTTTGGTTTCTGGGTGAATTTTTTGAGTTTTTGTTGCTCCCAGGTGTAACTTTGCACTTTTTTGTGGGTTTTTTGGTTTCCAGGTGAATTTTTTGAGTTTTTGTTGTTCCCAGGTGTAACTTTGCCCTTTTTTCTGGGTGTTTTTTGTGGGTTTTTTGGTTCCCAAGTGAATTTTTTGAGGTTTTGTTGTTCCCAGGTGAATTTTTTTGAGGTTTTGTTGCTCCCAGGTGAATTTTTTTGGGGTTTTGTTGTTCCCAGGTGAATTTTTTTGAGGTTTTGTTGCTCCCAGGTGAATTTTTTTGAGGTTTTGTTGTTCCCAGGTGAATTTTTTTGAGGTTTCGTTGTTCCCAGGTGAATATTTTTGAGGTTTCGTTGTTCCCAGGTGAATTTTTTTGAGGTTTTGTTGTTCTCAGATGAATTTTTTTGGGTTTTTTTTTGGGTTTTCCCAGGAGCTGGAGGCCATCAAGGCCCGGGTGAGGGAGATGGAGGAGGAGGCCGAGAAGCTGAAGGAGCTGCAGAACGAGGTGGAGAAACAGATGAACATGAGCCCCCCCCCGGGCAACGGTGAGAGGGGCCCCAAAATATCCAAAATTCACCCCAAAAGATCCAAAATCCGCCCCTAAATAGCCAAAATTCGCCCCAAATCCACCCCTAAATGGCCAAAATCCACCCCTAAATGGCAAAAATCCACCCTAAAATGGCAAAAATTCGCCCCAAATCCACCCCAAAAGATCCAAAATCCACCCCAAAATATCCAAAATCCGCCCCTAAATAGCCAAAATTCGCCCCAAATCCACCCCTAAATGGCAAAAATCCACCCCAAAATGGCAAAAATCCACCCCAAAATGGCCAGAATTCACCCCAAATCCACCCCTAAATGGCCAAAATTCACCCCAAATCCACCCCTAAATGGCAAAAATCCACCCCAAAATGGCCAGAATTCGCCCCAAATCCACCCCAAAAGATCCAAAATCCACCCCAAAATATCCAAAATCCACCCCTAAATAGCCAAAATTCACCCCAAATTCACCCCAAAATGGCCAAAATCCACCCCAAAATAGCCAAAATTTGCCCCAAATCCACCCCTAAATGGCCAAAATCCACCCCAAAATGGCAAAAATCCACCCCAAAATGGCCAAAATTCACGCAAAACCACCAAATTCACCCCAAAATATCCAAAATCTACCCCTAAATAGCCAAAATTCGCCCCAAATCCACCCCTAAATGGCCAAAATCCACCCCTAAATGGCAAAAATCCACCCCTAAATGGCCAAAATTCACCCCAAATCCACCCCAAAATGGCCAAAATTCATCCAAAACCACCAAATCCACCCCAAAATATCCAAAACCACCAAATTCACCCCAAAAATCCCAAATTCATCCAAAAATGGCTGAAATTCACCCAAAATCCCAAATTCCCTCCAAATGCCCCCAAATTCAAGCCAAAAAACCCAAATCCACCCAAAACCCACCAATTTCTCCCCAAAATCCCCAAANGCTCGCTCCATCTACGTGGGCAACGTAATGTCCCAAAATCCCCCAAATTTACCCCAAAATCATCCCTAAAAACCCCCAAAAATAACCTCAAAATTACCCCAAAATGGCCCCAAAAAATTACCCCAAAAATGTCACAAAATGGCCTCAAAATATTCCTAAAAATCCCCAAAATTACCCAAAAATCATCCCTAAAAACCCCAAAAAATAACCTCAAAATTGCTCCAAAATGGCCCCAAAAAATTACCCCAAAAATGTCACAAAATGGCCTCCAAACATTCCTAAAAACCCCCAAAATTACCCCAAAATCATCCCTAAAAACCCCAAAAAATAACCTCAAAATTACCCCAAAATGGCCTCAAAAAATGTCACAAAATGGCCTCAAAATATCCCTAAAAATCCCCAAAATTACCCCAAAATCATCCCTAAAAACCCCAAAAAATAACCTCAAAATTGCTCCCAAAAAATGTCACAAAATGGCCTCCAAACATTCCTAAAAACCCCCAAATTTACCCCAAAATCATCCCTAAAAACCCCAAAAATAACCAAAAAATTACTCCCAAAATGGCCTCAAAAAATGTCACAAAATGGCCTCAAAACATTCCTAAAAATCCTCAAAATTTACCCCAAAATCATCCCTAAAAACCCCAAAAAAATAACCAAAAAATTACTCCCAAAATGGCCTCAAAAAATGTCACAAAATGGCCTCAAAATATTCCTAAAAATCCTCAAAATTACCCCAAAATCATCCCTAAAAATCCCCAAAAATAACCTCAAAATTGCTCCAAAATTACCCCAAAAATGTCACAAAATGGCCTCAAAAAATTCCTAAAAATCCCCAAATTTACCCCAAAATCATCCCTAAAAATACCAAAAAATAACCTCAAAATTGCTCCAAAATGTCCCCAAAAAATGTCACAAAATGGCCTCAAAATATTCCTAAAAATCCTCAAAATTACCCCAAAATCATCCCTAAAAACCCCCAAAAATAACCTCAAAATTACCCCAAAATGGCCCCAAAAAATGTCACAAAATGGCCTCAAAACGTTCCTAAAAACCCCCAAATTTTCCCCAAAATCATCCCTAAAAATACCAAAAAATAACCTCAAAATTGCTCCCAAAAAATGTCACAAAATGGCCTCAAAATATTCCTAAAAATCCCCAAAATTACCCCAAAATCATCCCTAAAANCCAAATTCACCCCAAAACCTCCAAATTCACCCCAAAATATCCAAAATTCATCCCAAAATGGCCCAAATTCACCCCAAAGCCCCCAAAATCCCCAAAATTCACTCCAAATTTCCCCAAAAATCCCCCAAATTTCCCTAAAAATCCCCCAAATTTTTCCCAAAACCCCCGAAATTGCCGCCAATCCCCCCCAAAATCCCCGAATTTTCCCAAAATCCCCTGAATTTCCCCCAAATTTTTGTGTTTTTGCAGCCGGCCCGGTGATCATGTCCCTGGAGGAGAAGATGGAGGCCGACGCTCGCTCCATCTACGTGGGCAACGTAATGTCCCAAAATCCCCCAAATTTACCCCAAAATCATCCCTAAAAACCCCCAAAAATAACCTCAAAATTGCTCCCAAAAAATGTCCCAAAATGGCCTCAAAACATTCCTAAAAATCCCCCAAATTTACCCCAAAATCATCCCTAAAAACCCCCAAAACTAACCTCAAAATTGCTCCAAAATGTCCCCAAAAAATTACCCCAAAAATGTCACAAAATGGCCTCAAAACATTCCTAAAAACCCCCAAATTTACCCCAAAATCATCCCTAAAAACCCCCAAAAATAACCTCAAAATTACCCCAATATGGCCCCAAAAAATGTCACAAAATGGCCGCAAAAAATTCCTAAAATCCCCCAAATTTACCCCAAAATCATCCCTAAAAACACCAAAAAATAACCAAAAAATTGCTCCCAAAAAATGTCACAAAATGGCCTCAAAATATTCCTAAAAATCCCCAAATTTACCCCAAAATCATCCCTAAAAACCCCAAAAATAACCTCAAAATTGCTCCAAAATGGCCCCAAAAAATGTCACAAAATGGCCTCAAAACATTCCTAAAAACCCCAAAATTTACCCCAAAATCATCCCTAAAAACCCCCCAAAATAACCTCAAAATTGCTCCCAAACAATGTCACAAAATGGCCTCCAAACATTCCTAAAATCCCCCAAATTTACCCCAAAATCATCCCTAAAAAATCCCAAAAAATAATCTCAAAATTGCTCCCAAAATGGCCCCAAAAATGTCACAAAATGGCCTCAAAATATTCCTAAAAACCCCCAAATTTACCCCAAAATCATCCCTAAAAACCCCCCAAAAATAACCTCAAAATTGCTCCCAAAAAATGTCACAAAATGGCCTCAAAATATTCCTAAAAATCCCCAAAATTACCCCAAAATCATCCCTAAAAACCCCCAAAAATGCCCCTAAAATTGCTCCAAAAGTTCTCAAAAAACGTCCCAAAATATCCCGAAAACGTCACAAAAATAGAATTAAAAAAACCTAAAAATTCCCCAGAATTGTCCCCAAAAATATCACAAAAACACCTCAAAAAATACCCCAAAAATCACCAAAAAGTGTCCCAAAATCCCCCAAAATTACCCCAAAAATAAATCCAAAATTCTGCAAAAATTGTCCCAAAAATGTCACAAAAATACCCCAAAAATGGCCCCAAAAATGGCCCCAAAAATCCCAAAATTACCCCAGAAAATGGGAATTTTGGGGAATTTTAGCTTTAAAAATTGGGAATTTTGTGGAATTTTGGGGTGGAAAAGGAGAAAATTTGGGGGGAGAAATTTGGGGATTTTTGGGGAGAAAATCTTGAATTTTGAGGAGGGAAAATGCCCAAAAAATGCCCCCAAAAATTCCCCAAAACCCAAAAAAATCCCAAAAAGTTAAAAAAGAAATCCCAAAAAATGCCAAAAAAGTCCCAAAAATTCCCCAAAATGGCTCCGAAATTCCCCAAAAATTTCCCTAAAATTTCCCCAAAAAAATTCCAAAAATCCCCAAAAAAATTCCCAAAAAATTTCCAAAAAAATTCCCAAAATGTCTTAAAAAATTTTTGCAAAAATTCCCAAAAAATGTCCCCCAAAAATTCCAAAAAAAACCCAAAAAATTCCCAAAAAAATCCTCCCAAAATTTCCTCAAAATTGCCCAAAAAATTCTCAAAAATGTCTCCAAAAATCCCCAAAAAAATTCCTAAAAAGCCCCAAAAAAATTCCCAAAAATCCCCCCAAAAATCTCCCAAAATTACCCCAAAAAATCTCGAAAAATTCCAAAGAAAATACAAAAAAAAAAACCATAAAAATCCCTGGTTTTTTTCCCCAAAAATTCCCAAATTTTCCAGACCCCTCAGGAATTTTGGGGGTTTTTTTGGGGAGGGAAATTGAGGAATTTTGGGAATTTTTTGGGA